GTGTGTGTGTGTGTGTGTGTGTGTGTGTGTGTGTGTGTGAAGAAGATTACATAGACTCCATGCCAGGGGCAGAACTTTGGATGAAACACGGTTAGAGAGGTTGATTAGCTACATTAGCAACAGCGTGGTGAGACATGGCATCACATGCAGTTTGACCAGGCCCCATCTGCTTACTGCTAAGAAGCAATCTAAAGGCCACCATAACAGACATCTGTGCCCGTTGTCTTTGGCTGAAGAAAAATTGTACCATGTTAATGTAATTCCTCAACCTCTAATGAAGCTTGTACAACACACAACGCAAGGCAGCTGCAATCTCAAGACAGAAGGAGCTCTTCACAATGTCTAAACAGCTGGCAGGGAACTACCAGCACTGTATGCAAATCATTCATGGCCTTATGTGGCTAAAGACCTGGTTCATTTTTATTTCAGCAATGTGAGATTTAAAGGCGTGAGGAGTTAAAGACTCCTCACTCCAGTAGTTTTGGTTTGTAGTCTCTCTATGCGCCTCTTTTCTGTTCCCTCTTTCCATTGGAAACGGCGCAGTCCCAGAGCTGCTGCTCAGCTCCATCTTGATAGCAGCCTCCCTGAAAGGCAGGCGTGTTGCACTCACTGTCCAGATTCTTATCTCTGTAATTGCGTTCCAGTCAGGGAGGAGCGCCGGTGGAGCTGGCAACAGCACTGCCCCTGCTCCAAGACAGAGGACATGCTCCAATGGAGGCTCTGGAGTGCTGGGGCCTTTAGTTCAACTATCAAGAGAGACATTGGTGCAGCTTTGTCAGCTTTGACATACATTCAGGCTCCAGATGTCTCTGAAGGGTGCCACTGGTTGTTTTAGGCCAACAGGCCACTGCAAGTTCACTGAGATGAGTCACAGGTCCAGCTACGATTTTTGTGGAACAGGGCAGTTCAAGCCAAGAGTGCTCTGACAATGTTTTATCACGATTGCCTGCAAAGGCAGGGCTCATTAACCCCCACCTAATGTCACAAAACCCGCTCCATCTAAGAAGTCTAGCCTTCCATAAACCTCTACAAATATTACATCTATTTTTTTTTTATTCCATTTCCATGTAATTATATGTAAGCTTTTTCTTCACTATCTGACAGCCACAGCTCCAATTAGCTACTGATTAATCTGCTAATTCCTTGCTTTGCAAAAATGTAATTAAGCTGTAATTAATGACAAGGTTTTAATGCTCAAATTTAGGACTGGGTCATAATATTACATTTTGTTTGTGTGTTTGTTTTTAATTACATATATTAATGCATAGATATATCTTCATAATGGAGATGGAATGGGACAATATTGTTGATATGGTTATGCTTTGATGTTGTATTACGTCTCCATCTGTACTTCACAGAGCAAGACAGTGCTGCTCTTTCAACAATGGATATACATTTATATAATAAAGTTTGACAGGACACATTTATGTAATCTTAATCTGGGGCAACAGGTGCAAAGTTTGTTGATTTGCAGAAACTATTGCACACAGACTGTGGCGGCTTTCGCCACAGTCTGCTGAGTTTTTTGGGGTTTTTTTATTATTTCACAGAAGTCTGGCGCTGCTCGATACTTTCACTGTTGATTTGACGAGTACATTCAAATACACCACTAACCAATCAAAGCAGCAGCAGACAGCTCAAATCTTTTATGAGGCGAATTTCCTCATTTTGTCAATGGAGTCTGGTGGAGCGTAACAGCTCTGCTTCCTCGTCGTAAAGGCCCGTCTGACAGCAGGTGAAGCAGTGAAAATGTTCTAAATATAGAATCCACTGAAACAGATATCGATTCCTTCTGTTTGGTGGCTAAAATTCATTTTGCTGCCAGCCGTGCCCACAGCAGAGTACGGCTTTATTTTCTGTACAGGTGGGGGGTGTAAATACTGCCATCAGCTACAGGTAACACAGTAACTGCGGATCAGAACCTTATGCAACCCCAAACAGACTGCAGTATTGTTACCCCAAGTAAAAAAACAACAACAAAAAAACACTGTTGTTATTTTGAACATGAGAAAGAATATGCACAATGGTTTTAATACGCTTACTGAAAACAGCTCCCGAATGAGAAACAATATGACTCCTGGTCTAAGGAGCTTGGAAAGAAAAGCATCTGGACATCTTTCACATCTCATCCAAGAAGCTTCAGAACTGAAGAAGCTTCTCTGATCAGAGGTGAAACGTCGTCAAGAAACTGAAAGATGTCCAGACGATTCAATGCATAACACTAACTTGACAATCTTGATCGACTGAATATCAACTATCAACTAAATCAACCGATGAGTCAAACATTTCGGCTTCACTAACAATTATAACAGCTTCTTTTAAAACGATCCCTGTCTTTTTTTTTTTAAAGCCCAGAGTACTCTGGCTTTTGATTACATCATTTTGAGTCATTTCACTGTACAAAGAGCAGTGAAAGAGCAGAGAACTCATAGAGGTACAGTCAAAGGCAACCTTCCAAAGATGCTAAAGAAGAGCAGAAAATTGCTTTAGTGCCAGGCAAACAAACCAAGGTAGGTGAAAGGATGTGGCATTAGAACGACTGCAAAACAGGCTTTGAATATCACAGAAACAGGAAGAGAAAGTGAGGGTTTGTTTTTTTTACCGAGCAATTCTGAAAGTCAGACACCGTCTGGAACCGTTACTATATTGATTACTGTTTTTTCATTATCACATTTTCTTTTTTTTAATTTGCATTTGTTTCAAAATGATGCATCCAAGGTTTACCGCGGCTCACCACAGGCCTGTGCAGGGTGGTTACATATATAGTTATAGAATATAGTTAAAGCAAAAAAAAGAAAAAGAAGATGAAATAACAGTTTTTAAACAAAATAAAAAACAATTAATCTGTTTAGTTACTCAGCCATAAGATTTTTAATGCGACGCTGCCTTTTCTTTTAGATCTGTGGGCAGGTGATCTATGTTCTCTTCCCTGGAGGAAACTTCAACAGCTTCAATTTTCTAATAGAAACTGCCCTACCCGTATATATGACTAGAACTTAATTTCCTTGGGCAGCTCTGAAAACAATATACATTCATTTCACACACTTTGGTCATGTAATTTACTTGGTGTTGCCTTTCAAATGTTCTACACTGTATCTCTTTGAATTCACTGCTATAAGAGTGAGTGGCCTGTTTATATCCTTGACAGGTATTTTTATCACAAACACTCACACTTTCATTCAACTCTACATAATTTTGTCGTATTCTTACAGTCCTTTGTCATGTGAAATAACAAATTCACAAAGGCCTCATCAGCACTTCCAAGCACAGCACAGCAGTTCTCATTAGAATTACACTAATGCCAGTGTTTCTTTGAACATCTCAATCAGTCTAATCCAATTCTGCACATACTGCTTCGCTGTGCAGCTTCACATTCCTACTGTTTAATGCTGCGCAAACAACTGAGAGCAAGTCCCTCAGAGGGGTCTCAGAAAAACCAACACCTCATTCTCTCAGCTGGGCTAAATTCATCATCTGAAAGCTGGCAGGAAAATCAATGAAAACTAATAAAAGGGTCATGCAGCGTGAACACAGGCCTTATTTGAATCAAGTCCAAGGATGCGGTCTGGACCCATCAAGTGCAGTGGCAATACTGGGAAAGTTTAGCTAGCTGCATGCTGCAGGAAAGATATTGACTAGAGTAGTTTTAAAGAAATTTTCTACAGCCACAATCAGCTTATTCCCATTTCTCAGTACTGTGTATGTATCAAACACTTCTAAAAGGATGAGTGCACAGAGACATTTATAGTCTTTCTAAGTGGCACAGGATCAATGACCACTGGAGCCAGGAAGGTGTCTGATTCTAAGCTTGTACTGATAACATTTACAAATCCAAATACAAAATAAATCCTTTAGACTGCCCCCCACCTTGGCACAGCATGCACACAAACACTCTATTCCAAAGCGAAAGAAGACTGCCGCACATACCTGCCACGTTTACTTTCTCTGAGTTTGGAGCACTGGGCGTAATAGTGCTGGTGCCGTTGCTCAGGTTGGGCCCTGTGCCATTGTAGATGTTCTCCACCTTGGACTCTAGCTTGCCCAGCCTCATCATGATGTTATCCAGCAGGACTGCGAGAGTCTTCTTCAGGTCTGCAAAATGAGAATGTTAAATTTTATTTCTCTCCAGCAAAAAAAAAGCGGTGTGTCAGGTCCATGAGTTGGAGTAGAGTGCTTAAGTTGTCAAAGAGCTTAAGTTGTCAAAATCAACCTTTAATCTAAAAAGTGGTGGGAAAGGCATCGATGGGGGATTTCTTCTAAAAGCTGAAAGTGTTGTGTGACTAAAGCAAACATTTTAAGGGAGAGGAATAAAAACCAGGCTAGAAATTTCTGAGAATTTTATAAAACCAAAGTTGGCACGTATCTTGCCCCTGTTTCCAGAGAACCAGTTACTTTAATGGTACAACTGCACAGTTGAGGTTTCAGCTGTGTAGTGGCAGGCATACTGGTACTACGGGATAGACGTAGGCAAGTGTATCTTTGATTTTTTTTCACTTGCTCAATCCATAAAATATGATATTTGCTCAGTGCTCTTGTGGAATGAGAAAGAGAAGCTGTAACTTTGGACTGTAGCTAGCAACACTGTGAGATGGTAGTACTTCTGCTCTGGTGCAAGGTGGTTCACGTGTAGCTTCATGGAGCTCAACGAAGCAGAACAAGGACTACTACCGCCAGCTGCCATCTGAGTGTGAGATAGTCACCAAGTGGCACAAGTTGCTCCTAGAAGGATTTTGACTAAAGTCCTAACGCTTTTGTTTTAAATTTGGGGTCTCCAGCTTAAGTATCATGGTCCTGGGTCATTTTGACTCAGCATTCTTTGTTTCCTTGTGTTTCTGTATCATGTTAAGTTCAATGTTTTATGGCTTAATTACCACAAAACGGAAAGGATAGTAGTTTCAAGATTACATTCTCTTTCTTTTGCTCTCCACATACTCCAAACACTGTTTGTTCGTTTGCAGCAAAAACCAGCTCAAATATGGTTGGTCAATTATGATATTTCTTTAGAAATCGACACAAACGTGCCATTAAAGCTGCCATCTGTAGTATGAGCAGTGGTATTCAGCCAGGACAAGCAAGGCAAGTAGAGCTTGCCTTTCTGTAAAAGTCCCCACATGGAACTGACTGAGGAAAATTGCTCAGCTATCTCTGACAATAAATAGCTTCAGCTTCAATGACAAGCTCAGGTCCTACAACAACACATTCTTGAGGCTTCAGGGACCAGCTTCCGGCTCATTTAATTATTAATGGGGAGCACCCGAGTCTTTGCAAATGACTTCCTGTTCCTCCAGTTTTGTGAGGGTCTTTGCATTTCCACGTAAATCTTTTCTAAATTTACTTTCATAAAACACAACCATGGCAAAATGCAGAACATGTAGGAACGTTCCTGACCAGTAGCCAGATACAGTGGGGCAAAAAAGTATTTAGTCAGCAACCGATTGTGCAAGTTCCCCCAC